GCCTATAATTGCCCGGGTCCTCCCTTTTCCCTTTTTTGAAGATGGGGACCACATTAGCTACCTTCCAATCGTCTGGCACCTGGCCCAAGCACCACGATCGCTCGTAGAGCCGTGCCAGGGGCCCTGCAATAACCCCAGCCAGCTCCCTCAGCACCCTGGGGTGGAGAGCATCCGGACCCGCTGACTTGAACGCGTCCAGCCCCTCCAGAAGCTCTCTAACCCGGTCCTCCCCAACCTGAGGTCTGAAGGCGATCCCCTCGCGTCCGGCTTCTATCACAGCAGGGAAGTCCCGGTCCCTGCACAAGAAAACGGAGGTGAAGAATTGGTTAAAGAGGTCCGCTTTATCCTCTGACGCAACCACCAGATTGCCCCGCATATCCTGCAGGGGCCCCACATTACCCGGCGCCTTCTTCATCCTCCCAATATATTTGAAAAAGGACTTTTTGTTATCCTTAATCCTGGACGCTAATCCGAGCTCTATCTCCGCCTTGGCCTTCCTAACAGCCCGCCTGCAGGCCCGAGCAGAGGAGGTATACTCCTCTTTGGAGATTACACCCCCCTTCCACCGGGCGTACGCCACCCTTTTGGCAAGCAGGCATTCCCGGACACCCTTGGTGAGCCAGGGGGGCTTTTGGACACTCCTGCCCGCCTTGCTTCTTGTCGGGATGGACACCCCTTGGGCCCCGAGTATCGTTTCCTTAAGGAACGACCACTCCTCTTGGACGCTGAGTTCCTCTGCCCTCAAGGACCCCAGTTCCTCTCCCACTAATCTCCTCATCTCACTGAAGTTGGCCCTCCTGAAGTCTAGGGCTACCACCTTGCTGCGGGCCCTTGACACTCTACGCTGGATGGTGAATTCCAGCACGCGATGATCGCTATTGCCCAGGTGGTCAAGAACCTGGAGGCCTCTTACCAGGTCGTCACCTGCGGCCAGGACCAGGTCCAGCAGGGCATCTCCTCTGGTGGGACTGTGCACCTCCTGAATCAAATGGAGGTCCTGCAACTCGGCCAAGAACCTCCTGGAGCGGTCCGTCCCGGCTGACTGCTCCTCCCAGCAGATGTCCGGGTAATTAAAATCACCCATGACAACTACATCCCTTGCTTTTAGTGTCTCCGCAAGCTGGCCTGAAAATTCCCTGTCCAGCTCCTCCTCTTGATTGGGGGGTCTGTAATAGACCCTCACCGTCAAATCCCTCTCGCCTTGCCCTCCCTGGATTTTGACCCAGAGCACTTCAGCTTGCCCTTCCCCTGACCCCATTCTGCTGGCAGAGGATGTGTAGTGCTCCTTGACATAGAGTGCCACCCCCCCCCTTTTCTGCCTTCTCTATCCCGCCTGTACAGCCTATAGCCCCTAATGTTAACTGCCCAGGTCTGTGCACATAACAACGTTCAGTCAATATATGCCCAAGGTAGAGGGAAGTAATTGTGCACCTTCAGCCAGAAAAACAGGATCCGGTTACTGCTGAAGTTTCAAGATTGGTCAGAGTAACTTGCTTGGTTTTTTTTCATATTAAACCTTCTTGCTGCAAGCTGTTAATGAGTCATCTTCCTCCAGGGCACAAAGCATGTCATCTACTTCTACACAAGTCGCAGTGGATCGGTCTCCAGCCAATCAAAGAGGTGGAAACAGGTGGCCAGGGCATATTGGGGGCCTAATTTCTCCTTACCCTCAGAGCTTTTTTCAAGTTAAGCATTTCTTAGCCCAATCTGAGAACAGGAAATTGCGGACACTGACTTATCTCTGCTATCACAACTGTGAATAAGTGTATTTGTCTATGTAATCTAGAAGCTGAAAAGTATATTAACTTTTTGTCTGTCCTTAATAGGGAGAATCAGCAACAGGATTTTAAATGTATTACTAATTCATGCTGTTCAAAAGCTTAATCTCTCTCTTCATGAAAGCGCAACCATCCATCTGAGCATCTCAAGTACACCCCACATGGAAGCGGCATTTGTGTGCCACCACCTTTCATTTTTTTCCTCCCTTTGACTGCCTTAGTTTGTGGTAGTTCAGAAAATCCCTAGGTGATACATGTACATTTCCTAAAGTAATGTTGGTGGAAATTTAACAACAGAGATCTTCCATTACCTTTTCCCTGTATGTTTCTGCCTGTATGCTGCCCTATAAGCAGCTGGCTCTTGACTGGTAGGATTGTAACTGAGCAATGGCCACCATAAGACTTCGTAGGCTAATATAAAGAGGGGGAACTTGGATCCTGCTTGTTCACACACATTGCAAGCACATCAGTTTAAGGATAATTTACTTGGAAAAGGATTAAGGTGTATAAATCTGACATTACTTACAGTAGATGGCAGTATTGTACTCACCACAGCCAATTATAAGCTTTTCACAAAATGGAATACAGCTGTTTGAGGATATATTTGGCCACTAATTCTGAAACCAATTCTGAATTCAAAAAGATCTATTTATATATCTATAGGCTGCTGTCTTTTAAAATGACACCAACTACATTTAAAATTAGTGGAGAAATGGCAGAGCATTAGGGCAAGAAACTATGTAGTGAAGTCAACACAAGTTGGCAAGAGTTAAGGACTGAGAGAAAATCGTAGATGTTGGTCCACAGATGGGTGGAAGCCTCAATTCATAATTCCAACAGAACTTGTAAAGAATAATTTGTGGATGTCAGAACTAATACCTTCCACAGAGATCTGCTTTCTCTGCCTTTTTGTATGGACTAATTTCACTAAATTAAATGTTGTTTGCAGTCCCTAGGTTTTCATATGCCAAATTAAGAGTTTTGAATTCAGCCTGAAAACTGGAAGCAGGGAGGAAAGCAGGAAGAACAAAACTTCTATGGATCCAACAATACCATGGGAGCCCAGACCAAGTGTTCAGGGCATAGTTGATTAATGGTTAGAGCTTTAATCTTCCCTGGTAAACTTTGTAGTGCTTTTTCAGCTAAACCAGAAGGGTGGCAGGGGGGAAAAATGGGCATAAACACAGCCTTTTCCATGTCCTTTTCCAGTGGCTTTAGAGCAGCAGGGAGAAACTAATAGCCCATGTTAGGCAGAGACTACTAACAAGGCTTCAGACTTGGGAAACAGCCAACAATGCCGCATCATCGCCCTGGAAGTCAGCTTGGGCGTGGGAGGAGAGGCTCAAGTCATGCAAAGAGTGCCTGGCGGGGAAAAAGCATTGGTGCTCTTTATGAAGAAAAAGCAGAGGCGTTGAAGGGGATCAGCAGGATCAAGAAGAGGGGGAGTGGAGTGGGAGCCCTGTGATGGGAGTGCCTGTTTGGGGACCTGGAAGTCAGGTTGCGCTGCTTTTCTTCTATGCCTTTTGGCTCAGATCTTGGGCTCTTGTGGGCCAGGATCAAGTGGGGGCACCCGAATCCCAAGACCTCTGGGCTTGGGCATGCATGGAGGATGCCTGCCAATGGATTTGGGAGTATCTGAATTCCCAGGGTGAGAGGCTGGGATGGAGGATGCTGGAGGGTTGTAGCGCCCTGCATGGGGTGAAGAACGACTGAGTTCTGCCTGCTCAGTCAATACGGTTTTTGGAGCGATACATGATTTGGGACTGGTTTCTTTGATCTGACCTCGAACAAGAAATATATTATTAATAATAATAATAATAAAATCCTCTGCCTTGCACTCGCCTTCCCTTGGCTTTGCAGAGGAGAAAAGCCACTGGGGAGCCCCAGTCGGGTGTTGCTGATATTTGCTGAGGAGGTGGGAGCAGGACAGGGAAGCGGGGGCTGCCCTGCGTGCACGGCCCAGGGGGCAGGGCAGGTTCCGGGGCACCAGAGGCCACATCCCCCACAGCAGGGGCGAGGCAGGAACTGCGCGGGCGTTGGCTGCGCGTCCAGCTGCCACTGCGAGCCGCGCTCCCCCGCGGGGGGCCCGCGCTGGGGCCGGGGGGGCCGGGCCGCCTGTGGCGGGAAAGGGCTGGGCTCACCCAACAGCCGTGGAACTAGCAACCCCACACTGCGCATGCGCCACCCCTGGTCCCGGGGATGAGGAGCATCGGAGCGTACTGACCGGCACCCCTTAAGCAGCCCGGTCAGGCCGCGCATGCGCAATACGACGAGTTTGGTAACACCCACCCAGCTCTGGGGGAAGGGGGAGAGAAAAGGGTTTGCAGAAAGCCTCGCCCACTTCTGGGAAAACAGAGGCGCTTCTCGGCCAATCATCGGAGAGAGAAGAGGCGGTGGGCGGGCGGTGGTTCTGTCTTCAGACAGCTGCGAGCGCCGCTGGTCGGGAAAGGTGTGCTGATTGGTTGCTGGCTTGGAAGGGCTAGGGACAGGGGTGGGGTCTCCTCGCTGCCGTAGCTTGCGGCGTGCGCCCCTTGGTTGGGGGGGGGCGGGGGGGGTGCTGCCGGGGCGGGCTGG